GGTGCCCCCACCCTCTGGAACGAACTACCCCCCGAGATCCGGACGATTCCGGATCTCCTTACCTTCCGCCGTGCCCTCAAGACATGGCTTTTCCAGCAAGCGGGCCTGACCTAGGGAGGATTTTATTTAGGGTGATTTTAAAAATAATTTTAAATAGAAACACAGCTTCTAATATTCGGTTTTTTTTAATCTGGTTTTACAGGGGTTTGTATTTTTATGTTTTGTATTTGTACTGTTTTTAATACGCTGTGCACCGCCCTGAGTCCTGCGGGAGAAGGGCGGTATATAAATTAAATTATAATAATAATAATAATAATAATAACAAGAAATTGCCTACAGTTAGTCCATTTAGTCAGCTGGAAAGTGTATGTTCTCCTTTTGGACTCCAGTCTGTCTCCAGATCCATAGTGCTTTATCTCTCTACAATAATGGGAGTTCCCTCTTTGAAGGTTTATATTGAGCTTCATACTTTGACTTCTGTTCCCTTGCATAGAAGAAGATGATGAGTCTGACCAAGGTGAAGACTTGGATAAACAGATGGGAAATCTTGGAGATGGAGAAGCTGACAAATTGGACGAGAGGCTTTGGGGAGATGATGATGAGGAGGAGGAGGAAGAGGAAGAAGAAGATGGCAAAACAGAAACTGGATCTGGGATGGATGAGGTAAAATTTTAAATGAATATAATGTTTGAAGGAGTAAGAGTTGCACCATTGATTAATTATGTAAAATGCACGACAGTACATAGAAAAGGGGGCGTGATGGCTCAGCAGTTAAAGACGTTAAACTTCGCAGCTGGAAAGCGGATAGCCCAGGTTTGAGACCCAAACGCTGCACAGCAAGGTGAATTCCCATTCCTTGCCCCAGCTCCTGCATGCCTAGCAGTTGGAAAGCATGCAGATGCGAGTAGATAAATAGGTACCACTTCAGTAGACAAATAGGTACCACAGTGTTCCGTGTGCCTCAGCGTATAGCCATGCTGGTCACATGATCACAGAAATGTCTTCAGACAATGCTGGCTCTCCCTCGGCTAAGAAACAGAGATGAGCACAGCCTCTTAGAGTTGGACACGACCGGACAGGGGAAACCTTTACCTTTACATGGAATTCAGTTCATTTCAAGCTATTTTTTTCGTTCAGGCCACAATAAAAGGAAGTGAATTAGGCTTTGCCTCTGCAAAATAATAATAATAATAATAATAGCTGCCAAAACATCATTTCAAATGGAGATTAGACGAAAGAGATGGCGGCTTTTATTATCAGAAGATTTGATGTTCATACCTGATCACTCCCAAGAACTTCCACTGGAGGACACTTGTTGCATTTATCCTGATGGTGAATGCCTTCAGCACATGATTGACCTCTCTCAGTGTGCTGGACTCATCCATAGAGCTACTCTTCACTGTAATTATTTTGGAAAGCACAGAACGAGTAAACCCCGATCAGCCTATTTCTTATATTGGAACTTTTGAAGGGCTTTTTATTTCCTCGGAAAAATTTTTGAGGCTTTTGTCAATTTGGAATTTTAAAAAGATTTTTTTTAAAAAATCTTACTTGGTTTATTATTTTAATATATGTGTCTCTCTTTTTAGCTTATTTTGGAACGGAGTATGCATTTTAAGAAAACATGCTGAGCTTTCTTTTTAAAACAGTCTGAGTACAATGTAATGAATCTACTTTTATTTTAACTTAAAAGTTCACATTGTTCTATGATAGCATATTTTATTAGTTTAGCTCTGTTTGCTGTTGAGGAAGTATAACAAATCCATTCTATTAAAGTAGGGAATTGTTTTAATTTAATAGCTATATTCATAAACAAGTGGTAACCATATTTCTCAAAACAAGTTGAATAATGTTAGCCTGAGAATTATGTATACGCTGGCGGTAACATGGATATTTTTCTTAAATTATTTAGGGAGATTCAGAATTGGTGGCAAAAGATGACAATATAGGAGTTGACAACCAAAATGAGAAGAAATCATCCAATGATGAAGAAAAAGAGAAGCAAGCAGATGATAGTGAAACTAAAGAGAAAATCCATGAACAAATAGATGAGGTAATAACCTAACAACTCTGTATTGGGCTGCTTATTGTTCTTTTTAGTGTGTGTGTCCGTGCGTGTGTGCACGCATATTGCTGTAGAAATAATTGAAGTTACATCGTTGAGACCAGCTTGCATTTTACAAGCATAGTTGGGAACAGATGAGTATATTCCACGGCCTCCAGGGCAGAGATGCACAGCGGCCTCTTGTTTCTTCACCAGAGAGGTGGGAATGCTGGTAAATTAAGTTGTCTCCAAAATATTGCTATGCATGCAAAGAATTCCTAGAAGATGAGTTTTACAATCGGTGCCCATCAAAATGAGCCAGTAAATAAATATCTTACCTTTTGCATGATTAGTTACTTATTTTGTGCATTGGGTGGGAAGTTAAAAGAGGAAATGGCAGCAGAGGGTAGTAGTTAAGAAGGTGAAAGTATATGCACTCGTATGGGAGAGATTTGATACGATACTCTTAACTAGGAGTGTGCATTGCTAATTTAATAGTGCTTTGGACCTTTCATGCATCAGTCCTCTGTTGTTAAAGCAGCTGCCTCTTTTTTTCAGGCTTCTGCAAAGAATGTGAATACTTTATTGAATTGATTCATTTCTCAATCTTTAATGTACTCTTTTCTCTCTTTTTTCCGGCTTTCCATTTCTTTTTTTTTCCCTTTTCCTTGCTTTCGTTTTTAAGCATCTATACAACAAAGAAACACATGTTAAGTTGGCTGAACAAACTCAGTTTTTGCAAACAATTAATTTCTAAAGTTACTGCACATTTAAAGTTGGCACAAAAATCTGAAAAGAAAACAAGACACTGCTGCTTTAATTAGAAGCAGAGTGGGGCTGTGCTCATATAACGTCCAGAAATTTTTCCAAATCATTTTCAAAGCATGTGTTGCCTTAGTCTTGATATGTATTTAGAGGACTCCCATCGTTCTTGTTTTTTAATTGTAAACATTTGAAATGTGACACTTGATGAAAAGACTGGTGTCCATTTTAGAATTTTCCTTCCTTTATTAAAAGTTTGTATAATATTCCTAAACTCTATATTTTCAAAATCAATATTCTTAACTAAACCTTTGTAAGTGGGGAAAGCACCTAAGGCAGTGATGGCGAACCTTTTAGAGACTGAGTGCCCAAACTGCAACCCAAAACCCACTTATGCATCGTCGAGTGCCGGGTGGGTGTGGCCCATTGGGTGGGCGTGGCTGCAGTGGTAACAGCAGACTGGGTGGGACTAAAAAGTTCAATCAATCAATTCCAACTTTGCAAGATCTTTTTTTTTCCGCGAGAAGTTGAAATTGACTGATTGAACCTTTTTTTTTTTTGCACACGGCAGCGGAAGCCTAAAGCGAAAAGGTTTTATAAAACCCAGCTGAGGGCCTAGGACTGGGGCGACGGCGCACGTGCCCACAGAGAGGGCTCTGAGTGCCGCCTCTGGCACCCGTGCCATAGGTTTGCAACCACTGACCTAAGGCAAGATATCTTACTGATTACTAGGCAAGTTTATTATTATCATTATTGTTATGCTCTTTTACCAATGTATATTACAAATACAGCCATCGTAAAGGATTAAATATAGTAATCATATAGTTCCATCCAATAACAAGGATTCATTCGCAGTTCACAATCAAATAAGCAGAAATTAACTAAGACAACATCAATATGTATTTAAAACGATACCCTGTGGATATGAAAGGATATCTTTTCCAATGGGTGATAAGCTTCCTTAAAGCACTCAGAGTTTTTTCTTTTTGAGCGGGTTCAATAGAATTTCAAGCCTCAGGAATTTTGCCTCCCTAAAGAGTTAAATATCAGTGCTTTCCACCTTTGTTCTTCTTATAGCGTGTTCTGCTTTACAGGGTGAATATGATGAGAACGAAGTGGATCCTTACCATGGAAGGCAAGAAAAACAACCTGAAGCTGAAGCCCTGGAACTTGATCATGAACTGAACCTAGGACATGAAGAGATGGATGAGGAAGACAACGAAGAAGAAGAAGGTAGAAGTAGAAATGGCTAAATGATGCTTAGTACCAGACATATTGTTATCTCCAGGGTGTATGTGAAGGGGGACCACTTGACAAAACTTGTGTCCTGTGTACAAAAGCTACAACTTAGAAACTTGGCATCAGAGTTTTTAGCTTTCTGACCATTTTGTAACTTAAATTATTGAAAATTAGGATTTCATTGCTATCAGCAAGTTATGTTTCCATCTACAATTTTCATCAGCTTGATGAAGTAAAAAAGTTATTATCTTTTAATTTAGGTTATTACCAAATTATCTTAGTCATTTGAAGAGTTGATTCAAAAACGTTGTTTATAGTTTAAAGTGATAGAACGATGAACATTTGGGGAATGAATGGAGTGGGTAAGCTGGGAATGTGCTTTTTTTTCAAATTTGAAGCTGAAAAGATGCTTCAGTGGGCTTATGGCCATTCATGCTGTATGTGCCGATGGCTCCTTAAAGAAGCTCTGTTTTTCTCCAGCTCCATATAGTAGCTGTGTGATCCCAGAAAAATATGTGTTTGGGTTAAGGAGGGGTACACATTGTGTCCAATTGTTGGCGTCTGAACACATGGGAGTTACCCATGCAATACCCACTGTGCAGCTACTATGTGAGTCCAAGAAAAGAGGCAATTCCTTTAAGGAGGAATTGAGAGGAACTGAAATTGATGATTTTGTGGATGCTCCCAACCCCAGTCCAAAGCTTTCTATCCAAAGCACATCCTTGCTCTGTGCTTTATTCAGTTCCCTGGACCTTGATCCCTTGTGTCTGGGGGAATTGTATCTAGGTGTCCTTTGTGTTTTCAGGTATTCAGTTTCACAAATAATAGTGCATGTATGGAATTTAGGAGGCTTGGGGCATTCTATCCAATTGTATGTCTGTGTATTTTTTTTTAAACTATATTCTTATCTCTTTTTCCACTAGGAGAAAATCCTTTTGAGATTGAAGAGAAGACGAGAGATGTAGATGAAAAGGAAGCAGAAGATAAAAATACTGGAGATATAGATGAAGATAGACAGGATTCTGAGCAAGTCGAAAAAGATCCTTCTGAAGATAAAAATGAAAAAAATGAAGAAGATAAAAATGAAGAAGGAACGGAGAATTCTGATGCAAATACAGGCGAAGAAGAGGACTCAACAGCAGAAGAGCAAAAAGCTGAAGAGAAAGAGCAGAACATTTCTACTACTGATCAAGGCCTTTGTCCTCAGGTGTCACATATTTTTTTATTAATAGAAGTGGGGGGGAGGGGGGAGAGTTCCAGTCTAAAATTCCAGTAAATGAATTTGTTTTCTCTTAATTTGTCATGAAACAAACTAAGCTTGTCTATAATCTAAAACTCATTCTGTTATGTACAGTACATCAGCTACTAATATCTTGCAAGCTAATGCTAATACTGACTCATTTTCTTAATTGCTTCAGAAAATTGATGAAGCTGTTAATGATACTGAAAAGGAGGAACAGTTACCTGAGGCTGTGGAAAGAATGGAACATGAGGCATATGGAGAGGCAGGAGAAGAGAATCTGCAGAGCGATACGGCTGTTGAGTTGGTTGGAACCGCATCTGAGAAGGATCAGGCAAAAGAGGTGAAATGGAGCAACTTTATAAGCAATTACACTGGTACTGGAGGAGTTACAGTTTCAAATGTGCCTCAGCCATGGGAGCTCACTGGTGCCTTTGGATCACCGTCTCTGACCTCAGCCCATCTCACAGCCTGTAACCTTAACCCTAATTGCAGTAGAGGGAGAATTTTGTAACTTCTCTAGCAGCCGCTTCATGTCTCTGAATTGTTTCTACTCTATCAGCTTATTGAGTAATTGCTTTAAGGACTAGTGGCTAGCCCACATTCAGAATATTTGTTTTTGTTCACTTTGATTTAGAATTATAGAATAGATCTATAGAATACAGAATAACAGAGTTAGAGAGGGCCTTCTAATCCAACCCTCTGCTCAAGTGGGAGACCCTTTGCAATTTCAGAAAATGGTTGTCCAATCTCTTCTTTAAAAACCCCCAGTGATGGAGCATCCACAACTTCTGGAGGCAAGACATCTCACTGATTAATTGTTCTCACTGTCAGAAAATTTCTCCTTTGTTTTAGATTGAATGTCTTTTGTTAAGCTTCCATCCATTACTTCTTGTCTTGCCCTCAGGTGTTTTGGAGAATATTGGATCTGTTTATATTCTTTAGTAGGTCTCAAAATACTGAAAATAAGATACGGTAGATGATGATGATACTGGCATCCATTTTCCAGTAAAGAGGAAAGCATATTTCCACTTTAAGGGGGGAAAAAAACATTTTTAAGAGCGACAGAATATATTACAGTTGATCTTTGTATATACAGTGCTTTTTAAACTTTATTAATTATTCCCTTTGGTTACAACCTCATTGTCAACGCTGCAAATACTGTATATTCTTGCTTTGACAATATGCAGAACTGTCTGGTATTTTTAGATACCAGAGCAGAAGAAGGGAGGAGGGAAAAGCCCGGGAAAGAGAGAGGAAGGGAACCTTTGACCTTCACACTAATTGGATAACCGTGATAGATGACAGCTAATTTAGGGAGGGAACATACTGATAATTTAACTGCTCAGAGGAAGAGAATTTAGATCTTAGCATACCTTCTGTTAAGCTGATATTTTGCAACAATAAATGACTTTTAGGAAAATCAATGCCTGAAAGTTCTTTGAAGTGTTTCATTAGCCGGAACCATAACACTCATATTGCTAAATTCATCAATTTCTCCAGTAAGGCTGGTAGGACTATGTGCCATAAAGATACATGCCAAATCATTCTTGTGTTTGTCAAAGACTATGGATTATATCTACTTTTAATACTTTATACTTCACTAGGGATCTCTTCTCTGTCTTATGAGCCAGACTTACTATATGTCATGAATTTTCGGTGCAGCACTAGAATTGACAGGTGGACTTGTTTGCAGAACCACAATCCAACGTACTTCTCTATTCCAAACATACTGTAGTTGCCGGCTTTAAAGTTAATGTGCCTGTGATGTGATTTTGCAAACAAGATTTTAGTTTGTATGTCTTATTTCAGGAACACGGGAGTGGAACATCTGATGCAAATCAGCCAGAAGGACACGAATCTGAGTTAATGGCACATCTGGCTTCACAGAAACAAAGCAGAAAAACCACCCAGGTGTCTTATTCTTTTTTTTAAAATGTGTAAATTACTCTTTTACAGTTTGAGGCTCCCATACTAATGATCTTTGAAGACTGTTTAATGGAAAGTCAAGGAAAATCTAAACATATGGGACAGATAATTATTCCTTGGCTCTCATGCTGCTTGGATGTTTTAAGATGGTTTTGAGTTCAAAAAAAAAAGTGTTAGAATCTGCTAATACATATTTGAAGAGAAGAAACTGCATCTAGAAGTAATACAGAATCAAACACAAACTTTGGACAGTGTTTATTAGAAAGAGAAGCAGACGCAGGATTGAATGAACATGTGTGAAAATGATATAGGCCGGCAGTCCTCACAGATCAGTCTCTCACTGGCTTCATTCTGGCACTATCTTTTCCTCTTATAGCGATTTAGAATTAGAATTGTAAATGGTGTTTGGCCTTGGATCATAAATAAAATTTTGATTTGAATTCTATACTGTGTGAATCTTCATATGCGGAAGGCTCTCAGGCTAAAAATACCTTGAGCAAAAGGAAAAGAAAAGCTTCTACTTGAACTAGAGATCCAGTAATAGAGTAAACCAGGATCTGTGGGGCATCTGGCTTTAGTCTAGTTGCCCATTTGCGTAGATTTGCAGGTACACCATCTGGAGCCTGGCAAACAAGATTAAGCTGCAGGCCAGATTTTCCTACTGTGCAAATGGCCTCCAAGTTAGTACAAGCAAAGCTCAAAAAAAAATAAACAGAATTGATATTTTAAGGCAGAGGTGGATAATGTAAGCGCAGAGGCATGCACAGCCCTCTTTATCTTTTCAAGCAGCCCCAAAGCCATCTTTTTTTAAAAAATATTTTATTAAGTTTATATAAATAAGGAAAAAATAGGAACAATACAGGTATGGGAGGGGAAAGGGGTGGGGGATTTAGGATGGAATGGGGATCGGTACAATAATCACGTACTTTAACAAACAAGCTACCGTCTGGATCATAATAATGAATAAGTATCATACTCAGCCATTTTAGAATAAGATTAACTATAACCGTATTGCTAACAATTAATAAACAGATAAATTCATCTATGTAAATAAACATGAGTAATAAAATTTCAACTAGTCATAATTATCAACGTTAACGGTTAAGAATCACTAAGAATAAAGATGTTATCAACCTATAAACTATAACTCAATTAAAAATTCATCCTCTATTCTGAAATATTAAATTCTTTTCAGATTCTAACGCGTCTCTAACCATTGGGAAAAAAAATTCCCAAGTTTTAAAATAAACTGAATCATCTTTCTCTTTCATCTCCAATGTTAATCTATCCATTTCTGCACAATCTAAAATTTTAGTAATTATAGCCTAGTCAGATGGTAGATTTTCATTTTTCCCCCAAAGCCATCTTCATGCACCTCTAGAATCCTTTTTCTCTTATTAAAATGAACAGGGCCTTTATATATATATTTTTTCCTGAATAGGAATTTGGATTTGTTTCATCTCCTTGAAAACTATCTGGCTTTGCTTTCCTGTGTTTCAGAGTTATAAGAGAAAGCCAGGACAAGCTGACAATGAGCGCACAACAGGAGATCAGAGCCAACCTGTCCACAAGCGACTGAGAACTGTTGAGTCTAGCCAGGAAGCAGAGGAAAAACCAGTTCAGCCAGGACAACAGCAGGTGGAAGCTGACACCTTTGAGCATATTAAACAAGGCAGTGAATCCTATGATGCCCAGACTTACGGTATGACAACATTCGCAAGATATCACAGGGGATAATAATGATAATAAGCTCTTTGCAGCATCATAGTTTGAAAAACATACATATTGCTTTAGTAACAGATGCGTGATGACTGGGTGTTGGATTTCTTTTACCTTCATTTACACTTCAGATTTATTTTGAGAAATGTATTTTTCATTCTGTCTTAGCTAATTCTCTACAGTATAGACTATAGCGCTCTATATCCTAAGACCATGGGGTTGAACAAAACCTTCCTAAGCCTTGAGTACGGCCCCCAGAATCCTCAAGTGTTGTTATCAAATGGTAATTGCTAATGTATCAGAAAGGGAAAGGTATTAAATGTCTTGCTAGAGAATAATTTTTCATTCTAGTTTTAGGAGAATAAACCCTTTTAGAAAATGATATAAAATACCTTTTTGTAAATAAAACAGCAATGAAAACTAACTTAAATCTTGTTTAGTTTGAAATGTAAATTAAAGAATTTGGGGAGGATGTTTTCTCCTCCACAACCTTTTGACCTACATCCAACTCCTGTTGCCTCTTACAGGTCAAGTGCAGTCCTCAGCCTAGAAAAAGTTTGCATCCCAATATCATATCTGTGCAAATTTAAATCTCATTGAGTTCAAGAGACTTAATATTGACTAACAGTATGTAGGGCTGTGTTGAATTTTATGCTCAGCTGTTAGCCATATTTTATTTTTTGCTATGTTGGGCTTTTCTTGAGAAGAAAAGTCAGTTTGCCTGACAAATGCCAAACTTTTTTCTAGACTGCTAGTAGATCAGCTCCAATTTTTACGACGGCTCGTGCTGATGCTGGATCTAAAATGGGATCTAAAAACTGTATTTTACTGGTTTATGTTCCGACCAGATGTAGCAAGTGAAGAACAACAAAAGCCAATTTTGCCTCTTAATGAAGACAATGAAGAAACGGTTTCTGAAGATCTGGCTATGGAAACGGAAGATCACGCTGCTGAGGAACCCAGAACTTCAGAGGTAGAAAAAATGAATCCAGAAGTAAAAATGTCTGGGGCTTCCAAATCTGGTAAGTCGTCAACGTATTGCCATGAGAATTCATTTTTAAAAAAAATAGTTTCTGCATGTATGTGGGCATAGCACAGAAATATTGTTAATAAAATAGTGAATAATATTTTTTTGATTTCATTTAAGACGTTGCTATGGCTATTTATTAAGTGAGCCAAAGTAGAGTACAGGAATGGATATGGATGTATGCAGTAATTCGTGAGCACATATAATTCAATCCTAGGACCTGACCAGATAGAGGCAGACGGCCAAGTTCCTAATTCTGAAGACACTGAAGAAACTGAAGCAAACTCTTTACTGTCCGAAGTAAAGCCGGAGCGAAACAAGCACTCTACTATCCATACCGCTCATCAGTTTTTGAAGGACCCCAATGTACAGGTAGAAGACAGCTTGCATTTTAAAAAACAAAATGGTTGGGCTAACTGATTTAACTAGATACATTTTAATGGGGTCACAATGTTGCAATAGTTGCATGCTGTTCCAGATTACAGTCTCAGTTGTTGTAGAACAGGAGTCCCCAACCCCCAGCCCGTGTGTGGTACCAGTCCGCAGACTTGTTGGGAACCGGGATGTGCAAGCAGTTGGGCGAGCACGCGAAGCTCCATTTGTGTAGGCAACACGCAAACCCATCCCCTCTTCCCCACCTGCTGCTGGTGGTCCACAGAGCTGGAAGGTTTGGGGATCACTGGTGTAGAATCAATAGATAAGGTTCAAATTTGGGAAAGACTTTCACCTGCCGATGAATTGAAATGGGGAGATAAAACCATGACAATAGGAAAAGACATTAATGTTTACATTTGCTTTACATTGTAGACTCGGTATATAGAGAGTCAGATGTCTACATTAAAATGGTATAACGTTTTGCTGTCATTACTATTACACACCTGTAAAAAAATATAGGTACGCACTGGCTCTTTAGAATTTTACAAATACATGTAAAGTTAACAATGCCTGAAGGTAAGGAATTCTTATTGAAACGATTGAAATAGACTTAGAGCTGCAAAAGTTCAGCATTCTTATCTAGACTCATTTTTACTTTCATCAGCCTTCATCCACCCTGTAGCTGCTTCCAAATACTGGTGCAGTCCTCTGAATTATATATCAGAGGGACACTAGGGAGAGAAAGCTAAATATAATCAGTGGTGACGGAAGGATGGATGGTTACAAAAAAAAATCAGAGCAAATCAGTAAAATGGGGTTGCAGAGTTGCTGAAATGTTTCCTTACAAGTGTAAATTTGAGAAAGGACAATAGATAAACTGGGGGGGAAAACCCATGTCATTCTAGAATGCTGCATTACTGTTTTGTATCATGGTGTCCTAAGGATGACCTTGCACTTTTCCAGAAGTAAAGCTGTCTCTTCTCCTTGGACTACCTGTTTTCTAGTTCAGAGGATTAATGTTCAAAAAAACTATTTGGACTATCCTCAGAATTGGCAGAATGGCATGGTCTGGAGAAGAAAGAACACATTCTGTGTTTCTCTAGTGCACGGGTGTCAAACTCGATTGCGTCACGTGACGTATTGCAATGTTTTTTGCCTTTGCGGAGCCGGGGTGGGCGTGACCTGCACGTAATGCATCTGGCCCGCGGGCCACCAGTTTGACACCCCTGTTCTAGAGCATCCCATTCTAAAGGTTTTGTACAACATTCTATATTACGATAAAATGCATGTTACCCTTTGAAGGAATATTTCTATGTCACACTAAAACTAATCTGTTCATATTGCTGGGTTCTTATTCCAATTTGTTATATTTTAAGCACATTTTTAAAAACCCTGAAGAACTGAGGCAAGAACTAGAAAAGCAGCTCGAAGCCTGGAAGATTAGAAATCCTTTAGAGGTTGGTGACATGTTTAATTAAGGATATCCTTTTGTATTTTTTTTTAATCAGATGAGTAATTAAACCTTGTTTTGGAAGTCATGTTAAATACTATTGCTTAATCATTCCAAATTTGTGGTGGTGGCCCTGATAATCTGCAGTATATAACTGGCATTTTTATAATCATAAATTGTACAACAAATTACTTAACTTTACATTAAATGAATATTGCCTTTGAAAGCCTGTGGGAGAATTACTAAATTACTGACATCAAGGCATTAAGAAATTATGTGCTCTTAATGTTTTATTAAAGGTATTTTGGAATTTTTTTAATAAATATTGAAAGTATGGCCTGAAGTATGGCCATGCCTAGTATTTTTAACACATCAACTCTGGGAATAAATAATAATTTTCATAAGATAACACTGGATGTGTATTTTGCATTGCTGCTAAAGCGCTGTGCAGACAACAGCAAAAAAACAGCTATTTTCTAAACAATCTGGATCCCACTGGCACTTTTTAACTGATGGCTTTTTGTGGGGATTTTGTCTTGTACCTTGAATGCTGTAGGAGGATGCAGCAGCCGAACAGATGTGGCAGAGATACCTTCTGCTCACTGAACCTCTTTCCCAGCAGCTCTGTGAGCAGCTCCGTCTCCTCCTGGAACCCACTCAGGCAGCCAAGCTGAAGTAAGTAGAGCAAAAATCAGGAATCGGCTAAACCAGTGGTGGCGAATCTATGGCACAGGTGCCAGAGGCGGCACTCAGAGCCCTCTCTGTGGGCACATGAGCCATGCCCCGGAGATGCCAACTGTCCCTCTTCAACCAGCCGCCCGCTAACTCGCCGAGGACCCATGGGGCCAGATGCATCCCAGCACCCATGTGCTCGCTGGCCTCTATGTGCAGGGGGCAATGGTGTCAGGCAGCAGCCGCCCAGCCCCTGCCTCGCCTTGCCCTGCGGCAATGGCACCCCCGCCCTGTCTCGCCTTGCCTCACCCCGCAGGATGAGCCTCCTGCCCACCGCCCCACCCGCCAGAGACCCCCCTGGATCTCCCCCAACCCTGCCCGGCCCCCACAGGCGTCCCTCCCCACGAGCAACATTAAGGTGATCACGCCCATCTTGGCCACACCCACCCATTCTGCCATGACCACCACAGCCACGCCCACCCAGTGGGCCATGCCCACCTGGCACCCGGTGATAAATAAGTGGGTTTTGGGTTGCAGTTTGGGCACTCGGGCTCTGAAAGGTTCGCCATCACTGGGCTAAACAGTTTGATTAGCAGAGCAGAGTTTCATGGTAGAATTCATAGCACGCTGAAATCAATGGCATTTAGTCCTTGTTTAGTCCTTATTTAGCAATTGCCTCAGCTATTCACATATATCTGAACAAGAGTGTTTGCAAATATGTCAAGAAACACAGATAAATAATAAAAAAAGTATTTTTTCAACAAGTGTGAGCATTTATGACAATAAAAGTCATTGAAAAGTCATGAAACTGATTAAGGCCTATTCAGTTTCAACAAGCAGTGCTACTAGCTAGGGGAGGGTTCTGATTTAAATCTTAATTAGTTAAGGTCCCAGAGGAGAGCTTGCGGTTAGCCCTTTTTAAGGAAGAATTGCACTGCAGAGAAAAGCATCTCAGGAAGATACAGTTTATTTAAACAATCTCTCCGTTCTGCAGGAAGATGCAAAAAAAGAGGGGGGGAACAGTCGGGCATAGGACACTGAATTGGAGAACTTTATCTGCATGAAATGGCAGCAATTAATGATCTTTGCCTCATCTGTCACACGGTTCATTTAGCAATCGTGTCAGCAACCATTTCTTCAGAACCAGTTGTAGTCACTAAACAAGGTCAACCAGTATTCATTAAGTGGGTACATTAAAATATTAATTGAATTAACATTCTGAGTTCAACCACCATGTATCTTGATTAAATTCTATCATCTCTTCTCCAAGTATGTTAATTCTTAATTATTTCATTGATATTTTGCCACGTTCCATATTTTAGGATGATTCAAGAGTTTTTGATTCCTTCAACTACAAACAGGTTAACTATTGCAGTATAAGTGTTTGCAGACTAAAGACTATATGTGTTTGGAGTTTGCACACATGCAAGAAGACAGTACAGTTTGAGAATATAATCTGCATATTCCTGAATCTTTCATCTTTTATTTTTATTGAAAAAGTTTTAACCCTTATGTCAATAAAGATATGTTTTCAAATCTGTAAATTGTGCTTCAGAGAGATGGCTGAATAAATACTTTTCAGAACCCAAGAGCAGAGAGACAATATTCTTCACACATTCTGTGATAATAAAACCAGAATAAAATATGCACAATAAACATTGTTCCATTGGCTCAGCTGGTAGAATTTATGCAGATTGCAGAATTCATTGAGATTGCCAGAAATAACACATGGTTCTGTTTATTTGGAAAGTAATAATATAACAACAGTTTTTGCAATTTGTATCTAATATTTTGGATTTTCCCCCTAAGTTTTTTATTGTTAGAAGAGCTGTGAAAAATATTTAAAATTATTTCCAACCTTTTATTTCAGTCAACATCAACTTTTCCAATTATCAGACAACTACATGCATACAGTAACAACATATGTAAAAATCTAGCAATCTCTTCTAGCAATCTTCAACCAGTACTTCTGATAATTAAATTTCTGTTGACTTGTGCAAAACTAAAACTCACATTCTGCCCAATTATTTTCATAAAGTGTCATAGTGTTAATATTTTGAATTTTCTCAATTGCCAGGGGTGATTATAGAACAGGAAAAAGATTGAACATGCGCAAAGTAATTCCATATATCGCCAGCCAGTTCCGAAAAGATAAAATCTGGTTACGAAGGACCAAACCCAGCAAACGGCAGTACCAGATTTGTTTGGCCCTCGATGATTCTGCCAGCATGGTAGACAATCACTCAAAACAGGTAAAAAAAATACAAATAAATAACATTCTGATCTTACAGGCCTGAATTCGTTCAGATATCTTCTGTATTTCATGCTATTCTATGTACAGTTAATGACCATTTTTTCAGCAATCGTTCAAAGTCAATGGGGGTTCAGAACATAACAATAGTTCTAACACCTGGTCCCCAAAGTTATGACTGTTGCAGCACCTCCATGGTCACATGATGAAAACTTGGGCACTTAGCCACCTGTTCATTCTTCGCAGGGTCACTTCTCCCGCCTGATTATCTCCCCTTCCATGTCTGCCCTTTTGCCTGCCCTGCGCTCACTGACCCTCCTACCTCTGCCACCTTGCCCTTACCGGCTCTGCCGGTTTCCAAACCTTCAAAGAAGGCTGCCCCTGATTTGGACAAGGCCATGCACAAATTGAGATAAATGGCAGGCGTGGCCAGGAACAGCCTCACGAAGGGCCAGGTGGGGTCTGCTCATCTACAGCAGCAGGAATAAGCTGGCAAAGATCAGCTGGGGGTACCAAGCCTGGAAGCAGGAGCAGGGCCAGCAAGTGTAGTAATGGCAGAGGCAGCAGAGTGCAAGGCAGCCATAAGGGCAGAAATGGGAGGGGGGAATTGAAGAGGAGGCAGTCTCTTACCTTACGAAGCTTTGGGATTGGAAAGGGAGTGGCTTGGATCGGGGTAGATCCTTGGCTCATGACCTGTAGGATTTCGTTAACAACAGCAACCAGGGCTGCCATGATTGCCATTATTAAGCGATGCAGTCTACGTGATACTGTGCTTTATGACTGCCTCGCTTAGCAATGGAAATTCTGGTCCCAGTAGCCATTGTAACTCGAAGACTATCTGTGGTTCATTCTGGCATTCTTGTGCTTTTGCCACTTGGCGGTTTCCCAAACGCCAGTTCTCTCATGATAGAGTGTAAATATCTCACTGCAGTTCAGTGGATGTAAAGACATCTTTGCTTCTGCCACAATGATTGTTTGGTACTTGACATACTTAATGTATTTAAAGAAAGTGTCATCGCTGCAATTTTCTAATTTCTTACGGGGTTTGTATGAGAGCACGCGGCATCCACAAGCTTTAGGAAAAGGTGGCAAACATGTTTAGAATTTTGCAGTTTAAATGTTAATATTGTGCCAGATTGTTCATATTAAATCTACTGATAATACTTACTACTAACCCTACTCGTCAATGAACTCCAACTGTATCAACTTGTTTTTTGTAGCTCGCCTATGAATCCTTAGCAGTGATTGGGAATGCTTTGACACTTTTAGAAGTGGGACAAATTGCAGTATGTAGGTAAGAACACCTTAAAACTTTATTGACTTTTGGTAGTGAAAATTAATATAATTCCTGCATGGGACACAATTTTAAAAAGCACGTTTCACTTTATTTTAGTTTTGGAGAAACAGTTCAGTTGCTACATCCTTTCCATGAGCAATTCAATGACCGATCAGGAGCAAGAATACTACAGCTCTGCAAATTTGAACAAAAGAAGACTAAGATAGCTCAGGTATCGCCAGTTCTTAAGGTTGTGTTGTCCATTGCCTCACATCTGATTGCCCTGTAGAGACAACTCTTGAGATCCTAGTGGTGTACCTACGTTCAAGCTGCATGGCAGGATCCTTCCCCAAGTTTTTAGAATTGTCTTTGGGTTGGTGGTGAAAATAGCCTTTAGATGTGACGGGTAGCACATAAATCAAATCAATAAATGTTTCCCTATTTGTTGGTGCTTGGAGATTTCACTCTTCCTGTTAGGGTGCTGGTTGTGATAAGACTCAGGAGTTCATGTCCTCCATGAACAATCATGGGACTTGTCTCACTACTGGGCCGAAACAATGGTGGTAACCCCTTGGATCTGTCATTTTCTCTGAGCAACTAGTTGATGGTCTGGAGAGAGAAAAGACTTTTTCCATCATCATGGTCAGATCACTCCTGATCTGGTTACTATTAAGAGCCATCTGTGAGCTCTGTAGGGTGGTGAGGCTCATTGTTCTGCCCCAGTTGGTTTCCAATGGGAGTATGGGAAGTTTTCCAGCTCTCTGACAGGCAGTTTTACGTAACCACTCATTGGTTAAGTACTTGGCATTAGAAAGTGTGCAGCATTGCCCCCGAGTGGAGTCTTCTTGCTGATCCCACTTGGGGCCTTGCTTTTCCATGACGCTCTCTAGAAATGAAACACCACAAACAATGTCTGGAGCATAATTGGAGCAAGGCAAGAAGTGAACACAACCAAGGACAAATACATGCTCCTGTATAGTCCTTCATTATGGCAACAAAGGAGACTGTGTTTACTTATTGGACTCTTGTTGACCATCCTTAATTAGGATGATCAATTCCCTATTGGACATGGAGAGGGTGACAGGAATTCTCAGCAATGAAATGGTTCCTTTGCCCTGCTGGTGCAGTGACCGGAGTAACGCAACCCAGATTTATTGCCTAATTTCTACTGAGGAAAAGAATTATTTATTTGTTCTATCAGGAAAACTTCTCAAAATGAAATAATGCTTACTGCTCTGCTTCAAGTAGAATTTGGAAAAGTGTAGTTTTAAAGGGGTATAATTCAAATTAGGACATTCCTATTCTTTGTCACAGAATCAGCGTGACAGTTTCAAGGTGCAGATTGTCATTTCACAATATTTGTTTCTCATGTTCTTCCACAGTTTTTAGAATCATCAATAAATATGTTTGCTGCAGCACAGCACTTGTCTTCAAACATCAATCCAGGTGTGTCTCTGACTCCTTTTTTATAATCATTGTTGCCACACAGTAACATAGCTTAAATGAAAGCTGTCCGAGTTGTTCTGGAATCAGGCAACTTCTAAACCGAATAAATAAATAAAACCTGCATTGACTCTAAGAAGCATTGTTGTCTGTTGTTGCTGATTCAATGATAAAAGTGTGCATAGCACAACATCTCAAAGCAGAATGGTCCTCGATGTCCTTTACACTGGAACAATGCTGAAATGGACAACTCAAGGACATTTGAATTTTAAAATATTGTATTGAATAGCACTTCTTAATAAATGTTCTAAAGAAGAAATAGTTGAATTCTTAGTTCCCCAATCCGTTACTACTAGACAGACTGGGATCTATTTCTTCAATTATGTACAAGATATTCACTAATGTTATGTTTTACTTTAAGAAATTAATGTTTAGATTCCATTTAGTTTATCCTATATAGACAATATGGGGTTTTTTTTGAACTTTTTCATTTCTTAAAATACTAAGCAGTGCAGAGCTTTTGGAAACTCTTGGAATATTTCTTGTTTTCTGTATATTTGATTCAGGGTTTTATTAACAGCTGAAAATTTGTCTCTTACTAGAAACTGCTCAGTTACTCCTAATAGTATCAGATGGAAGAGGTCTTTTCCTGGAGGGCAAGGAACGTGTCAAAGCAGCTGTTCAGTCTGTACAGAATGCAAATATCTTTGTTATTTTTGTAATATTGGACAACCCTAATTCACGGGTAAGTTATCAATGCATCTGTACTACTTTTAACTGCAAAAGAAGCATGTTATACATAATTATAAATTAATAATATTGGATAAGTTATTTACTAAGTTCCCTTTCAAATGGTAGCAGTAAAAATTGTCCAGATTTTATATGACTAAAAGTAACAAAAAGTGTACTTGTTGACTTTATCAAATGTTAAAATTTTCTCAATCACGTAAACGTAGGTTACCCTTCCTACAACACAGGTGTTTATAGCCATGCCTAATTTCTTCTCATTTTCTGAAGATATTTAAATTAATTCATACATCTGAATTGATGAATTGATACAGGAATTAATTCATATATCTGAAGAATTAATTGAATTCTGGAATCTGCAAAGATCCATGACCAATCTGTATCTTAGTCCTGCTTATTCCTATCTGATACAAAAACTTAAAAGGCAAATTTAATGCAGTGTTTTATAAAGGTACATGAAATATTTTTTTTTAAAAAAAACTGTAAACAAACCATTTATTCATTTATTTCGCTTATTATGAATAACTTTTGTTGTTAGTTGCGAAGTCGTGTCCGACCCATCGCGACCCCATGGACAACGTTCCTCCAGGCCTTCCTGTCCTCTGCCATCTTCTGGAGTCCATTTAAGCTCACGCCTACTGCTTCAGTGACTCCATCCAGCCACCTACTATTTGTTATATTTTCATATAATTCCTTATTTAGAATCTTCTCATTTATAAACCAAAATAATTGACTTTGGGTGTTAGTAAACTAAATGTACCCTTTCCTCAATTAACAACCATGTTCATTCCAACTACTTGGTCATTAAGCAAAACAGTCACTAAAGGTACATGGATCTGAGACAGATGGAGCTGCTGCAAAGATCATTGTTTGCTGCTGTCTTATTCAGAGAAAGTTCTTGTCCCTTTTTCCCCTTTTATCGTGCAGAGAGATTGTTTACCCAAACTATCTCTTCCTGAGCTGCTTTTGTTCAGTGTAGTGCTTCCCTAAAAAGTGCTAATCATAAGTTAATCTCTGTGTCCTTAATTAGTTGATCAGAGCCCTCCTACCAGCTACCATGCCTGAAACTGACTAGACCTTATTTAGACCTTATTTAGTTTCAAACTGACTAGACCTTATTTTAGTTTGTTGTCAGGTACCTGAAATCTGGTTGTAAATGTATGCATTAGTTGGAAAGTGAATTTTTATTACCGTTTATTACTGCTGTACTTGCGAATGATTGCTAACTGAGGTTGTTGTTAATCAAGGAGTGGCTGTAAGTTAAACGGTTGGGGGGACATAATTATCAGGAAGAGGAAAAAAACCTCATTTTTTTTTCCTGCTGTCCTGACTATTTTCATTTGATTTAGTACAAGCGTGTGTACGCGGAAGTGAATTTAGCACAAGCATGTGTACATGGAAGTGAATATTACTTGAATAGAAGAAAAGCCTAAATCTGTAATCCAGTATTTACTTCTGTTGATTTGCTCTTTTCATTCGCAGGATTCAATCTTGGATATTAAAGTACCTTTATTCACACGGCCCGGAGAATTGCCAGAAATAAGGTCGTACATGGAAGAATTTCCCTTTCCTTTCTACATAATTCTCAGAGATGTGAATGCCCTGCCAGAGACTCTCAGTGATGCCCTTAGGCAGTGGTTTGAACTGGTGACTGCTTCAGACAGTTTGTAGAGGGCGCCAAGTCTAAAAAGTTCATTGAAGTATATAAGCTAATGTTCACAGGGGCCAGAAATCCAAGACCTCAAACGTGCATTTTCCCTTCTCAGTGCAGGAGACTATGCAGTCCATGATGAACTCAGACATCCTCCCTAGTTTCCTTGCCAATATTGGGAAACAGTGAAAAAACATATATATATTTTTCTTTTTGTTGTACTTTGAGTAACTTATTCTAGGATATATTTGATATCCTCATCATTAGGAAATAGGCAGGCTTGTTGAGTAGTAAGAAGCAAGTTTTGTTTCCAAAAGAGGAAGTGGAACTCGAACTGTTGAACTATAATAAAAAAAATAGTTTGCTTTTAAGTCACCTGCGTGAGTGGACCCTGTATTGAGGAGATGGGGGGGTTAAATTTTACACAGCCAAAAAATAATAATAATAATAATAATAATAATAATAATCTCCTTGGATACTTGAAATTGCTCAATATTGCTGAACGGTTGCTGGTTGTTTGATAATGCAAGGATATTTTTGTTACATTAAAGACTGCGTTGTCATTTTACACTGTGATGTCTGCCTTCTGTCCAAGGCAATTACTAGGATACATTTGGAAGGGACTTTTTCCTCCCCAACCCGTTTTCATGGCAAAAACTATGCATTGTGATTTTTAATAAAGCCATCCCTTTGTTTGTAATTATGGTGTCCATTGTTTGAAGAAATTAATCAGGTCTGAAATAATCTAAATGTGGATTATTCCAAGATTGAGAACAAAAGTAAACTCTGACACTGTCTTGAACTTGTCCATTCTTGTATGTAAACCAAAGATAGTTGTAATTATTGCTGCACTGTTTCATGGAGTCCAGATGTGTCTGATACTGCTGATGCAAGGAAAGTTAGCAATTAAACCGGAAGAATTGTAAATGGAAGTTGGAGGAAATATTATTTCTCGTACAGATGCAATAATCATAAACTACAAAGAGGATCATAAATTACAAAGGGGATATATAAAGTACTTGGAAAGCAACATCTGTCTGATATCTACCTCCCCAGGCCAACATTGGAACTGAAAGCCACGCGACGCTGCATGCATTAGAACTTAACATTGCAAAGTATTTACAGTTTATGTAGTGCAGAATTTAAAGTACTTTGTTAAAGCCAGTTTAGTGTAGCGGTTAAGATATTAGGTCAGTGATGGTGAACCTTTTAGAGACCAAGTACCCCAAAACTGGCCCTGCCTCCGCTTGACACCCCTGCCCTGCCCCGGTTCCGTACCACCCTGCCTGCCCGCAGGGCCACTCACTGCCTCCAGGGCCTACCGTAGATCACCCAGGCAGCCCAGTAGCGCCATGGCCACGCCCTCTCCCCGTGCCCAGCATCAACTGCGCGATGAGGCGTGAAGGCAGAGTCTTGTCTACGCTGCCTGGCTGCGCTGCTCCGCGTGGGCCACGCTTGGGGGCGACTCTCCTCCAGGGGGGCTGCTGGTGAGTGAGTTGCGGGGGGAGGCAAGGCTGGGGCAACAGCATGTGTGCCCACAGAGGGCTCCGAGTGCCGCCTCTGGCACCCGTGCCATAGGTTCACCACCACTGTATTAGGTTAAAAACTGGGAGATCATGAGTACTAATCCTGCCTTGGGCACAAAGTCAGCTGGGTAACTTTGAGCCAGTCGCTTTCTCTTAGCCCTAGGAAGGAGGCAATGGCTAATCACTTCTGAAAAACGTTGGCAAGAAAACTGCAGGGATTTGTCCAGGCAGTCTCTGAAAATCGGACTCAGTTTAACAGAAGGAAGAGAAACCCTTTATATCATAAGACTGCAGGTTTTTTTAAACTCCTAAACCAAAGCTTTCTTAAATTACTTAACATGAAGTTACTTAAAACAACTTTGCTATAGTTTTATGTAAGGTTAGACCTTGATAATTGGGAGATATAATAAATCAAATCATGAAGATGGTTAAGGTATGTTTACCATCACAACACTCTTTCATTTTCTAAACTCACAAAGATGTTATATAGGATAAAAGAACTGCATTATTCCACTGGTTAAGTACCTCTTAATATTTTTCTGCTAAAAATTATATTCTGTAAAGCTTAGGAATTTCTTGCTATGGATGAGTTTGGTCATATGTAGATCCATTTTTGGGGAGAATATACAGGATGTGATTTATGTCAGAGTATTGTGATCTTTACTAACAGCATAAAATGGCTGTACAAAATACACCTCAAAACCTTCAAGCTTAAAGGAAGAATAGATTGCATTTGACAAAATCTGACAGCTCAAGATAACTTTTTGCACTGTTTATTTCCTGGTCTCTCCCTTTTGACTATTTTAGATTTTTTTTTTTAAAAAAGTAATCACCTTATGTTAAAAATAGGCTAGTTTTTTTAAATTAGTATTTTATTAAAAATATTCAAATAGAAAAAAGGAAAGTGATATTGATTGATTGCTGGCTTTTGTGATAGTGGCGAATGAGGAAAGCCTTTTATTTTCTTGTGCAGTAAATTTTCTTGGCAGTTGCGCATGCCATTCTTCTTGACCATGACTTGGTATTAACAGAACCCTGAATTTTCCACTTTTTGATCAGAGTTTGAACAGCATTGACAGGCATTTTCAAATCTTTGAGTATCTTTTTACATCCTTTCTTGGATGTATAAACTTGAACTATTTTTTGCTTGCAGATCCTTTGTCAGTTCTTTTGTTTTCCCCATGCTTCAGTAACCAGCAAAGTCAGTATACCATTTCTCAAGAGTTAAGAAACTCACTATTTATACACAGACTTGAAGTACAACCAAAGAAGACACAGGTGTGAATACTTAGCTTCATTGCCATCTCAACATGTATATGTCAACTTTAGATTTAGATGTATTATCAGCCCAAACATTCAGGGATATGCAAACTTTTGAATGGAACCGTTTTATTATTTCTTCTATTACTACGGTTAACTTAATGATTGTCTTATTCTGTGATACCTAGTAGCTTAATTTAAATCACATAAATAAAAAAGTGCTTTATATGATCACTCGCGTACTTTACTTACAAAATGGTCCACAACTTAAAATTCTGCACGGGGTATATAAGCATGGTTGTAATAAAAATTTTACAAATTTTAAATGTAAAATTATATTTCAGTGAAATCATCCATGAATATAATCTGTATACGTAATATGTCAAGTAACACCAGATCTTCAGTTCCCAGAGTCATACCAGCATTGAATCCCTAGACTTATATGAAAAGCCCATAGAATCAATTTATTTTAGCTATCAATTTCCATGTATTAGATATATTTGAAGAAATAAGGATTTGTCTCCGAATCAAATTAATGTATGTAAGTATTTGATAGGACAATACAAAACAAAAAATTAAGATTATCATTGCATCTCCACAAAGTTCTTGTCATTTTATTTATTCATTTATGCATCACATTTAAAAATTGCCCAGGTCCCTCTTAGAGCTATTCTGGATAGTGCACTTATACTGGGGGTATATGTATGTTCAACCTAAAGTGACAGATCTTGAGTTGTGTTAACAATTCTGCAAATGTAAGTTTAAAATATAACAGTACAAAATCAAATCCATAAATTTGTATAGTTAATGTGCCAACTCTTAAACTGAATCTCGGCCGCTAGGCAATTTGCAGGCCATCCACCACAATCATTGTGTTGTAACAGCAAATTTTATTGTGGTTTGATTTTAAAGTTAAACTAATTAAAGCATAGAGAGTTCATAGAAGAGCAACAAAGATGACTAGGGGACTGGAGGCTAAAACATATGAAGAACAGTTGCAGAAATTGGGTATGTCTACTTTAATGAAAAGAAGGACTAGGGGTGATGTGATAGTGTTCCAATATCAAAGGGGCTGCCACAAAGGGGGTCAACCTACACTTTGAAGCACCTGAAGGTCGAACAAGAAGCAATGGATGGAAACTAATCAAGGAGAGGAGCAACCCAGAATTAAGGAAAAAATTCCTGTCAAAACAATCTGGAAGAGCTTGCCTTCGGGAGTGGGTACTCCATCATTGGAAGTTTTTAATAAAAGATTGGCAACCATTTGTCTGACATGGTAGGGTTTCCTTCTTGAACAGGGGGCTGGACTAGAAGATCTCCAACTCTCGACTAGAAGGTCTCTTCCAGCTCTAAGCAACTTTTCTTGGTTTACCAAGATAGGACATTCGGGTTAATTATTCAAAAGATGGCATAAGACGGGTCCTCAACCTTGTCAGCTTTAAGACTTGTGGACTTCAACTCCCAGAATTCCTCAGCCAGCAAAGCTGGCTGAGGAATTCTGAGAATTGAAGTCCACAAGTCTTAAAGTTGCCAAGGTTGAGGACCTCTGCGAAAATAATATCAATTTCAACAACTCTTCATAAAAGGATTCTTGGCTTAAAAAGGCACGTTTACGGCTTAGCTTTGTTGAGCGTTTTTCAATGTAGAGGATTATGTAAAAGAACGACCATGCCGCTCTGGAAGAAGAATCTGCTCTGCAGCCCTCGATTGCCCGTGTGCCGATTATAACCAGAAAAATCTAATTGCAATATTGATAAAAGACGAGTAATAACGTCAAACTGCACTTCTGGTTATATTCTGGGTGCTTTTTAGTTATGATTGTCAATTCTTATTCTATAAATACTAGCGGGGGGGTCTTTACGCTTTCCTTTGGTTCACAACTGAAGCGTTCAGCCTCCTTGAGGAAGAAAGCGCGGCGCGCAGCTCCCGATGTGCTTTAATGATATGTTTCCTAAACACGTGTCTTTCTTTTCACCTTCCACCCGGAGACCGGCCACTCAAGCTTGCTAAGTGACGGAAGGGGGAGTTACCCCCGAAGTCCCTCGCCTGCAGGCTCTCTTTCCCGGCCAGCGGCTGCCGGGACTAAGCGGGCGACATTCGCCCGCCGTCTCCGCGCGTGGCGCTAAAGAGTCCCCGCCAGTCCAAAAGGGCCGAAAGGCGGGAGTCTGAGCCATGGCGGCCTCCCGGCTACCCCCGACGGCCTTAAGCCTGAAGCAGGTAGGAAGGGACCGCGCCAGAGGGCGGCAGCTCGGCCTCCTCTCGGTCTTTGCAGCCGCCTCGCCCCTGAACAGCTGCCGGAGCGGCCCCTCTGTCTTTGGGCGCCTCGTAAACGGCGCTGGCAGGAGCCTGGGCGAGCCTGACAGTACAAAGTGCTTCGCTGCAATCTGAAAAGGAGGCTCCGGGCCTGGAAACCGCCAGTCGGAAGGAGGTCTGGCGGTGGAAAGAGGCTCCTTGAGCGCTGCGGCAGCATCCCGGCGAGCGCCCTGCTTCTGGCCGGATACTTGATTCGGGCCATTGCTCGGCACCCCAGCAGTTAGTTGCAGGCCGGTTGTCTGCTCGCTCCCCAGTGGCGTTAGCAGAGCTTTCTTCTGACGAAGTCACTTCCTTTTCGAAAACTCTTTCTTCTATTTACAGAATCTGTGGGCTGCTGCTTTGTTTGGAATGTATGTACAGATAGTCCTCGACTTACGACCACAACTGAGCCCAAAAGTCCTGTTGCTAAGTGAGACCGTTAAGTGAATTTTGTACCCATTTCACGACCTTTCTGGCCACAAGTTGTTAAGTGAATCCCTGCAGCTGTTAACACAGTTGATAAGTGAGTTTGACTTTGCTGGTCAGAAGGTCACAAATGGTGATCACAGGACACTGCAAGTGTCGTAAATATGAGTCAATTGTCAAGCATCTGAATTTGGATCACACGACCAGGGGGATGCTGCCAACGGTTATAAGTGTGAAAAACGGTCATAAGTCACTTTTTTTCAATTTCCAGTTATTGTAACTTTGAGCAGTCCCTTAATGAACTGTTTGTAAGTCGAGGGCTATGCTGTAACACTGTCATGTAGGGATTTTTTTTCCTAGCAAAAGAGCCTGTTACTTTGCATTAATTGCTTTACTGATTCTCACTTCAGTAGATAATTCCTGGGAAGCATCTGCATGCTACATGCAGAGCAAGCTTCCAAGGAGAATTTTTTTTAAAGAATAATTCTGGAAAAGCAAAATTAAAACTTTTGGGGGGGGAGTACAATATGGTCATGTATGGTGAACTGCATTTGGCTAAGTTACACAGAAGGGCAAAGTAACCCACAAAAGCCTGTGTATGTGTACATACACACATGTATACAAACACAAAATTACAAGTAATGTAACTGCTATTATGTACTTTGTCAGTATTTCATATTTCTGTAGGATTTATATGGACATGAACTTGGGACTTTGTGTTTTGGGAACCGGTTCAATTTTGGATGCTGCTATTGGCAATTCATGGATATCACAAAATTTTTCTCTATGATTTAGGGGAGAACCATACAGGAATTGAGGAAGATTAAGCTATCTTTCATATTGGAAATTAGCTTTTGGGTAAGGTGGAGGACAAAGGGCTTTATCTTCATTTTTCTGTGTCCACCGCATGAACATGCACCAGTAAAAGTCATTTTCCTCTCCTCAGCCTACAACTTAGTCATCTTTAGCTATGCCATTTTAAGGGATGTTTTCCCTCTTTCCCCCAACACAGTTTTTGGTGTGTGAACAATTCAGACCCCATGATGATGAGCAACTGTGGAGTCTGCTGAGCTCCTATTGGCAACATTAGGCTAGTGCAAGCATGAACCTTCCTGTGTGATCACTGGGCATGGTTCTCTATGGCTATTTTGGCCGGGCCTCAGGAGAGCCTGGACACAGGGTGGGCAGAATACAGACAGCAAAGTCAAGTTGTAGTTATGATGATGCATTTAAAGCTCCCTCTGATGAAATTTGTGAAGACTGACAGTAGCCCCTGGTATGGATCTCCATACAACCTTGGCCCATTCAGATGGACAAATCAGGCAGATGCCCAGAACTTTCAAATAGATAAATTGACGTAGCATTAAGAAAAGTGATAGTATGGAAGTAAAATACCTAGACCATTAATGTTTAAATTAATGTAATTTAATCTTAAAGAGGGCAGGCATGTATTAATTTGATAGTTGAGAGAAACAGGCAGGTTTGTGTTAATAGTTTTGCTGATCCTTTCAAGCATATGATCCTCAAGGCTGTTTGAAAGTGAATTAGCTGGGTTCCAGTTTTTTGGTTGAAAGAGCAGATGGGAAGACCTTGGACTTGTGACAAAAAGTGAGACGGCCATTCTTTGTTTCCTTTGATAGTTCCTGAGAAGACAACAGGTTCTTCAGTTATACAGGAAAATCCTCAGGACCATTCGTCAGATCCCCAATGAAGCCGATCGTCGGTATATGAGAGATTGGGCGAGGGAAGATTTCAAAAAGAATAAAGAGGCTACAGATGAGGCAAGACAGTTCTCAAAATCTGATGGGCCTGAACATTACAGCTGGTAGCTGGGCCTACTGCCTTCTGGCAGGTTTCCATATAGCTTGCTTAGAACATTAAGACAGGGATTGGAAAATGTATTACGGGTGCTATGCAGTTGCTTCCTTGTGGATCACTTTGGAATATTAATTCCCCTTAAAAGAAGAACTTCCAAAGCTGGAGAAGGGCGGGATATAAATCAAATAAATAAATAAATAAATAAATAAATAAAGACAAAGTGATTTCATATTTACCTTTTTTCTGAGTTTCCAAGAGCCAGTATTTGGAGCCTACTGAAATGGCATATACTTTGAATTTAAGAATTCTGAGTCCAGGTTTGACAAATATATTTGTTTAAATTACCTTGCCTACTAAGTATGACAATTCTTCTTTTACAGGATACAGTTAAGATGATGATCACTCAAGGCAACCTACAGCTTCAGGAGCTTGAGAGAACACTAAAATTGGCAAAATCCTAGGCTTAATTCTGCTTACAAGTCAAAGCAATTTTTCATTGCAGCTAACTGCAAGGACATTAAGCGGGAGGAGCCCTGCTGAGAATCCAAAGATGTCCAAAGACTTCCCAAAAGTCAGACGGAAGACCTGCTGAATACTCTTTGTCATGGTATAAATGCCATAAGCCTGAAGGTTAAGGTGCAATAGGAATAAAACAAGCAATAGCAGCAACATCTGGACAATGTGAAAAATGCAAAAGTAGATAAAGGGAATTTGATACCTTATATTTAGGAATTGCACTTGTAAATACAAGAATACCATGAAGCTGTGGAACAATTAACTCTTAAATGTGCTGTTTACCTAGAGCAATGGTGGCGAACCTATGGCACGGGTGCCAGAGGCGGCACTCAGAGCGCTCTCTGGGCACGCGCACCGTCACCCCAGTCCTAGGCCTTCAGCTGGGTTTTATAAAACCTTTTCACTTTAGGCCTCCGCTGCCGTGTACAAAAAAAAAAAAGGTTCAATCAGTCAATTTCAACCTCGCGGGGAAAAAAAAGATCTTACAAAGTTAGAATTGATTGATTGAACTTTTTAGTCCCACCCAGTATGCTGTTATCACCGCAGCCATGCCCACCCAATGGGCCACACCCACCCGGCACCCGACGATGCATAAGTGGGTTTTTGGGTTGCAGTTTGGGCACTCGGTCTCTAAAAGGTTCGCCATCACTGACCTAGAGAATTCTTCAAAGGAAAGAACTGAATCTTTACCAGTTCTGCACAAAGCATTGAAAGATGGTTTAACAAGATACAATATGCCTTCCAACTGACTCATTGAATTGAATCTCTAAGGTAATTAAGGTACTTCAGAATAGCTTCAGTCAAACTTGAAGGGGGTTCTATGGACTTCTGGTACTTTCTAGCTTCATTGTTGCATTTTTTTTCTAAAAACAGACAAAAATTTATATTGACATGAGTAATTGATCAGTGTTTGCTATATGTACATTTATTTGCAACCATAGGTTTTAGCAAAATAGTTAACCAGTAAATTTTATCTCTTTCTAGAACTTCATGTTCATGCTTATGGAAGTACTTCATGTACTTGGATGAACAAGTATAGAGTGAATTAGATGTTGTTGTTTTATATCTCTGGCTCTTCTGTTAGAATTTGTTTAGGCAAGTTTACTTACAAAGAGAAAAATAAGAAATCCACTTTTGTACTCCCTTTTTATCTTTGCTCTATATTCTCCAAATCCTTAATAATGCTTGTCTAGCTGCAGATGTTTGGTCTGAACCAGTGTACTTGCTATTAAGCAATATATATGGTTTTTTTTACAGTATGGCAAGATTCTGTCAGGGAATTACTGATTGAGCTGAGCTGTAAAACTTTCATTAGTATTGCAGTTTAGTAGCAGCAGGGCAGCGTTGTAGTGTTACAAAGCAACACTCAGGGTTACAATATGCAGTCTGGCCTCATTTTAAGAGGTGCAGTACAGGCCATAATCCAGTCCAGTCCAGTCCAATAAAGGAATCATAAAAAGACAGGATATTGACAGTGATATTAGCAAAATTATTGCAACAAGGCTAAGCCTTTTGAGTTGCCTTAAATATATCATATATAATATAAAGCATTCTTTATTCTGGCACAGCTGAAGTTCTGCAACCTTAGTTAGATTTCAGTGCCACAAAGCATCAGCTCCACTCATTACTGTAGGTGACTACAGTACTATTTTGACAGATTAGACATAAATCTCTGGTTTTCTGCATCCTTGAGGGCTGGGAGACTGCTTTTACTTCCAGATTCAAGTCTTGGCATTAGAATCAGGACTGGTTTTCTTCTATTTTGATCACATACCTTCTAATTCCTGAATCAAAATGTATTGCAATAACTTAAAGGAATGACATTATTTTGCATCACAATTTAATATTAGTAATGTTCTTCCTAGTCTTACCAGAATATTCTATAAATAAGAAGAGTGAAAATACTCTGGAAACAGCCTTTTGTTCCAGGATTATTATAAACAGTTCTACTGGCACAAAATACTGAGGTACGTATTCAACTTGGCAATTACTTGTTTCAGGAAGCATAAAAGCTCAAAAAAGAGCCAGGTTAGTGTAGTGGTCTAGAAATCAGGAGACCGTGAGTTCTAATCCCACCTTAGGCTGGAAAACTAAGTAGGTGACTTTGGGCCAATTGGTCTGTCTCAGCCCAACCTACCACACAGGATTGTTGTAGGGAAAGTAGGAGGAAGAAATAGTATTATGCGTGTTTACTGCCTTGAGTTATAAAATAATAAAGGTTGGATAAAAATCTAACAAATAAAAGGTGGCTGGTAGTGGGTGTGTAGAAAATCAGTCTTAACATCTGGATCGACCAGGATCTTGTTGAGCCCCTATGGTAAGAATCTAGCCCATAGCACCCTGTCTGCTATCCAGACTGATCAATGTAAGGGATAGTTTTATAATACAACTTAAATAAGAGCTAATAAATATTAACAGAATTGTAGATTGATGTAAGCAACACAAGAAGAAATGTAGGAGCAAGTGAGGGCAGACTAATGATGGCTGCATCTCTACAATCAACTGGCATATATATATATATGAGAATGACAGTTGCAGCATCCTGGGGTCATGTCATCATCATTTGCAACTTTCTTTGCCAGTTTCCAACATACAAAGTCAATGGGGAAAGCTGGATTCACTTAACAATTGCACAATTCACTTAACAACCATGGCAAAAAGGTTGTAAAATTCACTTAACAGCAACTTGCTTAGCAACAGTAATTGTGGTCTCAGTCGTGGTCATAAGTTTAGGATTACCTGTATCCAATCAAATTAACATCATGACTGCACATCAGTCAGCTTTTTAGCATGAGAAGAGGCGCGCAAAGCCTATTTTCCATTCCTTGCTCCGTCTGAGTACAGCAAGTCTCCCTAGTCCAGGGGTACGGAACCTTGGCTCTTTTATGACTTGTTGGACTTCAACTCCCAGAATTCCTGAGTCAGCATGGCTGGTTCAGGAATTCTGGGTATTGAAGTCCACAAGTCATAAAAGAGCCAAAGTTCCCTACCCCTGTCCTAGTCAACACTGCAACTGAATGGTCTAGTCATTGTGATCCCCTGGGAAGCTCCAGAGTGAAATAAATATCCATACATAAAAGTTGTTAGGGCTGGGAGTACTTGAAGGTATAGAACGGGTCTTCAAACTTGGCCCTTTTATGACTTGTGGACTTCAACTCCCAGAATTCTTCAGCCAGCATGCCTGGTATAGAAGAAAATAGTCTTTCTGATGTTGGCCACTGTTTGCAGTTTTCAAAATTCAACTCAGTTGTTAGGGTTAAGATATTGGGTAAGAAGTAAGGAGTCCTAGGTTCTAGTGCACCATCAGCCATGGAAGCTCAGTGGATGATTTTAACCCCATTGCTCTCAATTCAGCCTTCTTCACAGGGTTATTACTAGTACCACTCTTATACTGTGCCCATTGTACACATATCGAGTCTTCAGATAACCAGTGCCCAAAAACATATCCAGTGTTTAGATACAAGCTCACACTAAATAAAAATATCATACTCAATACTATAAAAATGCTCTAACTTAAAAAAAATTTTTAATATGTAATAAAAGAGTTTATTATAAAATAATCAAACCTTAAAGAATTCACAAAATGGCACACGGACTGAAAAACAAGAATAGACATTCACTCACTCCCAAGCAGTGTATCTGAGGGGCACCAATAGGTAACAAACACATTCTACCCAGAATTAGTATCACAACTAGCACTACTTAGAACTAAAACAACATTTTGCCTATCAATAAAGTATTGGTTTAGGAAAACTGGTTTCCTCGAATAATTTCATGGATACTGTCTCATCTTTAAAGGCATAACTTCAATATGAGTGAAATAGTTCATAAGTATTCCCTGCCCTCATATTGTTTCGGCGGAGTTTGTGAAAACAGCAATGTGTCCTTTTTTTTTTTGAGGCTAGTTTTCCTTCTGGACTTTAGTCCTTAGCTTCTGCAGTTCCTCTTCCAAACTTTTAATGTGTTCTTTAAGGACAGTTTTATCTTCCTGAGCTTTCTCGTCTGCTTGGCAACGAGCTTCTTCTATCTTTCTCTCGTACCACTTCTCCATCTGACTTGACACAGCCTCAAAGAAGTACTGAGTAATTTCCAAAGCTTGAGAGGTGCCCGCCAGCTGAGGGCTGCGCTCCTTTCCTTCAGAGGCAGAAGGTGGGTGCTGCACAGATGGAGCTTCTACTGGCTGGTGGGTCCTGTGCTTCAACTGACCGCTTTTACTTGGCTTCTTCGTTTGAGTCCCTTTGTCTACCAAGCAGCCACTCTGCAATTCTGCCTTTGTACATTCAGGAGAGGCCTGCAAAACAGTTTGTACTTTTACATGCCTTAGTTTGGAAACGGAGTGTTCCACTGCTGGCAGCTCTTGCTGCAATCTGTTGAAACCTGCTTTATCCTTTGGCCTAACCACTTGAGGAGACGCTGCAGAAGGAGGCGGGACAGCACCACCCACTAACTGTTGCTCTGTTCCTGGAAACAGAAAGAGAACAAATAATTATAAGTGCTTGAAGTTTTGGGAAGCTTGAGAAAAGCCCAGGCCAAACAAGAGGATGAGAATCTTAGCCCCAATGCAGGACGGCAATGGGATAAACTCAAAAGTTCCTTAATGCAGTTTTTGGTCCAAGGTTATTCTAATTCCCTATGTCTTATTAAAGGCAATTGGAATAATGATTGAAATATTTTGAGATCTGTATATTTGTTAACAAATGAGATCTTAGGAGACCGGTGACATGTTTAATTGCTTGCTTACTTACTTTAACATTTATGCATGCAATTTATAGGCTGCTTGAAGCCCAATGACACCGAGCTTATAATATTTAAGAAATTGGCACTTGCAACACTAGAATTGCAGAATGATGGCCACTGCTTGAAATTATTGTGGACTCCTGCTCTAACAGTAGCACAGTTTTTCTTCTATGGTGATGAAGGAGGTTTTAATCGTACAGGTTGAGAAGCAAGAGGCCTAGTATCAAAAAGAAAAATACAGAGCGAAATTTAGATTGACACCCCAGGTTTCAATGCAGCAGATTAGCATAGATATCCAACTGAAAATGGCTAAAATAAGAAAACCAAAATACCTGAGGTGCTATCTTGCTGAACCACGAAATACTTCTTTCCAAAGCTTTGCTCTGTGACTGGCATTCCGCTCCGTTCTGTATCTTCTGAGAGGCTCACAATGCCAGAATGATGATGGGACCCATTTGATTGTGGTGGGGTTTGGTGAGTTTTACAGTCATTTGTAGTGTGAAGGTTTTCTGTATCCAGAGTCTCTGGCAGAGACTCAGAGGTGGACAGAGTGGATTTT